CCCCCCGACAGTTCTTTCAGCCTTTTCTTGTTGAATTAATTCCATGTATTTTAAAAAAAAAATTTTGCATCATTTGTTGTCGTTGAATGTCGCGAGGAGATGCAGTTGTTTTTCTTAGGCCAACTCTGCAGCTCGTTCAATTGAGATATTGTAGTTTGTCAGGGTTCCCTTGACTACCTCAATCTATCCCATTCGTGACCTACCTTCTTCTTTAAATGGCTTGGTGCTTTAGTTTTAGTTTGTGTGTTTTTGTAGAGGTTTTACGGCGCTCGCGACTGCATAAGATCATATGAGCGCAATGACTTGGAGCAAAAAGTTCTCGAGCCTGGCTGACAGCATTCGTAACAGGTGGCCAAACCATTAAACTGTTTATCCCGTTTTTTTTATAAACTTGGATTGGGTTTTTTTGTGTTTTTTGGGGGGGGTTGGGGGGGGGGAGGTTGAAGGGTCTCTACCCACCTGGCTTTATCTTATCGGAGAAGGACTTTAAATTCGCAGGTCCCACCTCTAGAATAATAGCTTTAAGTGTTGAAAGAGGCATTAAACCTGTACATGGAAACTTTCCATGAAAAACTGAATTCATGTCTATTTCAAACAACTGCAGAAAGCCTAACCAATAAACTATACATACACCGGTCCCCTGTGATTTAGGTTTTTGGTGAAAAATAAATTGATGGGACCAAATAAAAAGGGTCTATATTTCATTTTGCTGAAATAAAGTTATTAGTATAACCACACACACACACAGACACACACACACACACACACACACACACACACATATACACGCACACGCCAGGGGAGACTACACAATATATCATTTGTATGAAAAGACAGAATGGCTTTACATCAGAGTTACGCCCTTTACAAATTACCCACACTCAGTAGTGTTATATGTTAGGCATCGTGATGAAATCTGGCGCTCGTAAAAATAATGAAATGGAAGATATTGGCATTTTCTCGCCGGACTGACTATTAATTTTTTTTTTTTTTAATAGCTCAACATCTTTTATGAGCATTTTAAAACACACGTGTGTGGATATTACTTTAAAAAACTCATCAACAACAGCAACAACAAAACCCGTTGATTAAAAGCACAAAAATGTAAATGTTCAGTTTTCAAGGACTCTCAAGCTTAAGAAATAACCAAGCTTTGGCGGCCATTTTCTCGCTAAATTTACCTTTGAAACCGTGTGACACCCACCTCTTTCAATTGCAAAATCTTGACTTCTGTCCAAGATAGAAGGGTGTTTTTTCATCGAAAGACAGACAAATGAATAAGCTTGAAGATGATATCAATAACTCAACTGAGGAGCGCATCGTGACACATATTATATGTAGATCTACTGAAGTCTAGATGTTTGGGTTTTTTGTGGGTTTTTTAAAACGTTTTTCTCGAAACAGTCACGAGATGACTTCGTTCCTTTATTTTTCTGACCTCTTCAGTTGCAAAAAGGTTCAAATTTATCTTTTTTTTCAGGCTGAGGTTCATATTTAAATTCATTTTTTTTATTTTAAGCCATATGGGCTCCTCAGTTTTAATTTTAGTAAGAAATTTACGGCACTTGCAACACAGTAAGGTCAAATAAGTGCCGAAGATTAAAGGTGTTACAGGAGAGTAACAAACACAAAAAGGAGGAGGAGAAAGAAGGACGATAGACGTTTGATAGGAAAGAAGTAGCAAACAACACCAGAACACCCACCAACCACCCACACTATTGGTTTCTTAAGGCCGATATAGTTATTAAACACTCGTGGTTTGCGGGTTGCATGTGAAGAGACAAATAGTTTACCAGCGCTTCGCTGTCGCACACAGGTGACCCGAGCTCAATTCCGGAGTGGAGAGACTTTTTTTTTAAAACGATTATCTCGGTCCGTCTTCTGGGATGTTGTATTCCCCTCAGCCCGGGTTGGCACTGAAACTATTATGGTATTCTAAATGTGAGGCAGCGTAGTGGAATCAGGCTCTCGTTTATTTTTGGACATGTAGACTTATTGGTATCATCTTAAAGCTTGTTCACTTGTCTTTATTTGGATGAAAAAATATTCAAGTCGAGATATTTGCGAATGAAGGAGGTGGGGGTCACATGTTTTCAGAGGTAAAATTAGTGAGAAAATGGCCGCCAAAGATTAGTTATTTCCTTAGCTTAAGAGTCCGTGGCAACTAAAAATTTACATTTATTGTACCTTTAATCAACGTTTTTCAGAAAAAATCCCACAGAAATGCGTTCTTTAATGGGCATAAAAGGTGTTGAACCAAAAAACAAAAAGTTGATAAAAATTCACAAACCTGCAGAAAAATGCTTATTTCTTCATTTTCCTTATTTTGACGAGAGCCTGGTTCCACCACGCTGCCTCACAAATTGTGTTGACAGGGGCGTAAAAACGTCTACATTTTAAAAAACCCAAACAAGTAGTTTAACTAGTAAATGGTGTGCACGTTATTTTGAGTCGCATTAACACGACTGTAGCACCACTCCAGCTCGGCTTGTTTCCAACAAATTTATCCCCCTTTTTGATAGCCCAGAAGGCAGACAGGAAAAGTAGTGGGATGACAAGAGGTGCCCACAGAATGTGTTCAAATTGCTCTGTGTACGCTCGTATCAAAACGGTGCCCAACGTCATTATCCTCCTTCCGGTGTCCTGCTGTGGGGACTGGAAATGTTTTTCTAACCCTCCCTCCCCCCCCCCCTCCTTTTTTCCCTTCCTGCCCAACCCAACCCCCGACATCTCCCTTTTTCTTTTTGTGCACGCCAACTTTCTCTCTCTCTCTCTCTCTCTCTCTCTCTCTCTCTCTCTCTCTCTCTCTCTCTCTCTCTCTCTCTGACACACACACACACACACACACACACACACACACACACACACACACACGCACGCTCGCACGCGCGCGTGCAAAAAAACACACACAAAAACCCACGCTTTAATAATAATAATAATAATAAATATCATTTGTATAGCGCATATCCCCGCTCAACAGCAGGCTCTATGCGCTTTACAGTATATTATTACCCCAGCAGACCATAGAACGCTCCAAAACATTCTCAGCTTCCCGGGAAGCATACAGTGCAAGCAGCTGATTAAGCGCTCAAACACTAACAAACTGACGAGATCTTTCGCTGTCTATAGCCGGGTACCCATTCCCACCTGGGTGAAGTGGGGAAAATTTGTGTAAAGTGCCTTTCCCAAGGACACAACGTCGGGCCCCTGACGGGATTCGAACCCACGACCTTACGGTTGCGAGTCCGAGAGCCTAACCACTAGGCCACCGACGCCACCTTTAGATGAAGGAGACCCCGCATCAACAATTTATAGACACACAAACGTATACACGCAAGCACGTTACCATATCGCTACCTCAGAATTACAAGTTCTATATTATGATATTATTATTTTTTTCTGTTTTGAGTTACTAAGACCACGAGATCAAAAACTTCAAATGTTCTATAAAAAATGCTTTATAAGAATTGTAAGATTATCTGGAGTGTTTATCAAGATATTCAAATAAATACATTCGTAAGAGCTTGACATGATGTGAAACTCAAAATTGTTATCGTCAAATTTCTCAAAACTAGTTGTCCTACTGAGCAGCTAGAAATTTGTAATTATGAGGTAGCAATATAATCACGTACACTCTTTCGTACACACATCATCATCATCATCGTCATCATCATCATCATCATCATCATCATCATCATCATCATCATCATCATCATCATCATCATCATCATCATCCTTTCTCATCCTTTGCCGGGGTAAAGGCCGCCAACAAAAGTTTTCTGTTTACTTTTATATTTGTACACAATATAGTTTTCACCTGTTCAGCTGTAAGCCATCTTTTTAAAGCCCAAACTAAATAGCTTCTCCAGGACTTAGTGCTTTTAGAACCTCCCTCTTTTTATCTTTCCTTGAGGATTCCGTATTCAATATTGATCGGTAGTGTTCTATTTTCTGTCTTCTTTATATCTGTCAAATCAACTTCAATTTTCTCTTACTGATTTATATACACACTTTGGCTGTTGATTGTTTTGCTCCTACAGTTTTCTATTCATTGTGTATCAGGCCAGTGAAAGTTAAGAACATTTCTTAAGTAACGGTTGGCAAATACCTGGAGCTTTTTGGAAGTTTGTATTGTAAGTTACTATGTTTCTGATCCGTGGACTAAAACACTTTTGACACGAATGTTGGTAATCCTTATCTAGATTCGCGCTCCTCTTTTTTTAAGATTTCCATACTTTTCTCGATTGTGTGGAATGACCTCTTCTATTGCTTACTTTCTGTCTTGCCACACACCTATTCACACCGGGAAAAAAAAACTTGATTACTAGCTATTCATCCACAGAGCCAGGTTTGGGATTGTTATTTTCCACAGGCTCTTAGTACCAGAGGTCCCTACTTGCTACGTAAAGATATCCTAAACCTTTCAAAGGAGCATGCGGGGACTCAAATGTATGGATTATTTTTTTAAACTTTTGTCTATTACATCATGTATCAAGAATACTTTTAGTTCAAAATGCAAAATCCAGACAATTTCAGACTATGGAACTATAAGAATTATAAGACTAACTGAATTTGGTTCAGTCAGTGTTATTTTTAAAACCATCAAGGGGTTGCTCTTTTAAGTTTTGGTACCAATTATTAAGCCAAAAGCATATTATTTGTTTCAACTTTGGGACTTTTTATTTCATGAAGAGTAGGTCACAGCAAATTGTGGGTAGACTGTTTGGTCAAATCACCCAAAGCTATGGTATTTTCAGCATCATTCGTGATCACATAAATCTATTTACCTTCATCATTCGTTTACAGTATCTTGGGGTGTTTGGTATGGGGATCTCTCTCTCTCTCTCTCTCTCTCTCTCTCTCTCTCTCTCTCTCTCTCTCTCCAATATGTATGATAATAATGGCCAGAATAGTTTATCTTGGAACGATAAAACAAATTCCACTCGCTCCCAAAATTCCGTAAAGTTTCAGCTTCACTAGCTTATGCATTTCGTTTCCAGCCACCTCTAGCAATGATTTCTTGTATTGTTGGTGGTTTTGAAGGTTTAACACAAGCTCTTCTCTCTCTCATCATTTGGTTAAAGATTTCTTGAATCTTTTCAGCAGCATCAGAAGGGACATCTCTTTTCCAGCCACCTCTAGCAATGATTTCTTGTATTGTTGGTGGTTTTGAAGGTTTAACACAAGCTCTTCTCTCTCTCATCATTTGGTTAAAGATTTCTTGAATCTTTTCAGCAGCATCAGAAGGGACATCTCTTTTCCAGCCACCTCTAGCAATGATTTCTTGTATTGTTGGTGGTTTTGAAGGTTCAATACAGGCTCTTGTCTCTCTCATCATCTGATCAAAGATTTCTTGAATCTTTACAGCAGCATCAGAAGGGACATCTCTTTTCCAGCCACCTCTAGCAATGATTTCTTGTATTGTTGGTGGTTTTGAAGGTTCAATACAAGTCCTTCTCTCTCTCATCATTTGGTCAAAGATTTCTTGAATCTTTTCAGCAGCTTCAGAAGGGACATCTCTTTTCCAGCCACCTCTAGCAATGATTTCTTGTATTGTTGGTGGTTTTGAAGGTTCAATACAGGCTCTTGTCTCTCTCATCATCTGATCAAAGATTTCTTGAATCTTTTCAGCAGCATCAGACGGGACATCTCTTTTCCAGCCACCTCTAGCAATGATTTCTTGTATTGTTGGTGGTTTTGAAGGTTCAATACAAGTCCTTCTCTCTCTCATCATTTGGTCAAAGATTTCTTGAATCTTTTCAGCGGCTTCAGAATGGACATCTCGTTTCCAGCTGCCATTAGCAATGATGTCTTGTACTGTTTGCTGTACTGAAGTGGCACCATGACTGCTACTCTCCCTCACTTGGGCTCGAGCAGCAGAAGCTATCGCTGCAAATGCGATCCCGAAAATCAGAAACTTCATCCTGAATTCTGGAGATATATGATAAATGCACACAAGTAAGCCCCGTTTGCTTGCTGTCTCGTAAGATAGACGGATAGATAAATTGATAGATAGACAGACAGACAGACAGACAGACAGACAGACAGACAGACAGACAGACAGACAGACAGACAGACAGACAGACAGACAGACAGACAGAGTCAGATAGATAGATAGATAGATAGATAGATAGATAGATAGATAGATAGATAGATAGATAGATAGATAGATAGACAGATAGATAGATAGATAGACAGATAGATAGCTAAAGAGATAAATAAATAAATAGAGAGATAAATAGATAGATACACAAAACACACAATATACAACTTAAAAATTCTAAGAAATGTTGGGCATTTTGTAATCGCATCATTCTAGTTTCACGTCTCCTTTCCTTCTAGCTGGCTTTTCCTGTAAATAATATGTCATCACAGTAATACGCAACAATGTGTCTTTTCCCACTAAGAAAACCAGGCTGTTTGTACGTGTATCTTTGAATGAAACTCTTATCTCCTTGTCTTTGTCCAACACCTTGGTCCATTTTGACCCTATACGTCTGGTGAAACATGTTCTTTTTCAGCGTTGCTAATAAAGTGTAGCTTTTTCTAATTTCGTTGTAAGAAAAAATGTGAATTCCAAATTGTTTTTTGATTATGTACAGGTCAGAGTATACTCGCTAATTTAAAGTGTTCAGTCAATAGTTCTGGAGTGGGACAGTTTGCTAGTGAACATTGACATGATAAAATATTGGGAACGTAGTGTTCCCACTTGCCCTCTTATTGTAATTGTGTTCTTTATCCTTGTTTTGTTCTTTCTGGTCTCACATGTAACTACATGTATAGTAATGCATATGTAATTTTGATAACGATGACAATCTTATTCGTCAAAAATCATTTTTAAACATTTAATGAACGAGGTCGATCCCCACGGGGAAATGAATGAGGTGGAGACGCAGCCATAAAAAGCATCGGGTATTTTAGAATGATACTTAACATTTTATGAGAAAGAGTATAACCTACTCAGACACGTTTTCAAAAGCACCAAGTACAAATTCCTATCATATGTAAAGGAGAAATACGGAAATATGTATATATCATCGCATCCTTTTTAAGCCATTGCTCGTTGTTAACACAATTTTATAGGCAACACCCTCTTTTGCAGACTTTAAAAAGCAAACATTTTGCATAGCCCACATACATAACTTTACATTCCTAAGCTGGGCATTTACTATCACAAGTCAGAGCCTTGGTAATCCCCACTGTCCACTGAAATTACAAATTGTTCTCGAGTGGACGATACCGCCACGGTTGACCAGCACTGCCTTAATTAAACTGTGCATATAATCTGGATTTTCTAGCACAGGTGGCTATCTTTTAAACATCGTTGGCAAGCTGTTCCATTGTTTTAGCCCCAGAAAGGATTTTTTTTCTGAAAGGACTTTTTAAGAGAATTGCTTTTTTTTTCTTCAACATTTAGAATTTGAATTTGGACAAAATATTTCTCAAGCACATGCAGCCGATACCCCAGATTAAGAAAATGAAAAAACAATGGTATACCAATATCATTTTTGACAAGGATAATCTAAACAACTGGCCAGGACAGGGGGGAGGGATGGGGGATGGGGGACAAAAAAACATAACTAGGCTCTTTGATAAAGACTTCCGCAGCTTTTCGAATTACTTCATTTTCTCGTTTGCGTGATTGCGAAATTTCTGGTAGTTTTTTAAATATATATTTTTTTTATTCACTTAGTGAGACGGGTCTACGGTACAAAAGTACATGCTGCGTTTCTTCAGGTTTGACTAGAATGGGGATATCAATACTATTGGGTTATTTAAGAGGCAGGACCTCAGAGTTTAACGTTCATCTCCGAAAGGACTGAGCCAAATGGGAAATTCATGAAAAGTGCCTTTCCCAAGGGTGCAACGTTGGACCGAGTTGAGGCTCGGACTCTCGCACCAGCAATATCACGATTATGGGTCCCGTTGCCTAACCACTTGGCTACCGATACTACTGAATATAGGACTACCATTAATTGATATATATATATATATATATATATATATATATATATATATATATATATATACAGCAGACGAAAAGAAAGACAACTCACCTCACACATGGGTCTGTGACAAGTGAGAAGCAGGAGGTCCATTGGATTTGGATGATGAATGTCCACTTGAAAACATCCTCATTTATATAACAAGTAGTTTCTGGGTCATGTTGAGCTGCCGTAAACTAGATTATGACCTTAGGGGAAAATTACTTTTATTAACTCTTACAAGTCTATTTGTGTGGCAGCCAGTTAGTTTTTAAAATGCATACGTTACCGTTTTAATATATAAAAGATAGGTTTAAAGCTACAAGCTCGAATTACCAACCAACATGTTGAGAGAAGAATGTAGATTTGATTTTATGAGGAAACAGTTCTCTTAAAGGCAGGCAAAAAATCTTTATGGTGAATGAGGTATATGAGGGATAAAAACAAGAATGCGACTTCTAGTCAAAAGACATACCAATCCCAAAGAGTTAAGAAAGTACTCATGGGCGTTTGAATGTTCTGCAAGGAAAGCTTATCTTTTCATAACAGGTGACAAGGAAAATGTGTTTTATTACCGTGTATGTGTTCAGTTGTAATAGATAAGAAATGTAACGAAATAAGGCGCCTCATTTTCGGAAGTGAGAGAGACAGAGGGGGAGGGGGGAGTCAACTAATTATCTTCCTCTGTTTCTCAGACCAGTATAAGGACATCTTAAAGTGCTTGGTTTTAAGAGCTTCCTTGGTGCCTATCTGGTCACTTGAGATCAATAGATCTTCAACCGCGACATGTAACTGTTCTCCAAGGGCATTCTACGCCAGGGATGCTCGGCAGTTTTAGATTGGTTGTCCGACGTACTCAACGACCCCACACCTCTCGCCTTAACGTGATTCTTAAAAGTGAGTTTTGCATCGACTGACCTCTTTTCCAAATGACATAGAAACGAGGGTCATTTAACAACAAACGCGGTGCCTTGTCCAACAGAGATGGGTAGATGGTCAAAACAACGATTATACATCCTTCAAATTTATCAAACGTAGGACATTTTGCAATTACAGCATTTTAGCTTTCTGTCTCCATTCGTTATACAACATTTGTTTATTCCTCTAATGGTGCACCATCTTTTCAGCAGCATCAGAAGGGACATCTCGTTTCCAGCTTCCACTAAGGAGCATTTCTTGTATTGTTTGCTGTACTGAAGTGGCACCACGGCTGCTTCTCTCCCTCACTTGGGCTGGAGAAACTGAAGCTATGGCTACAAAAGCGGTCATGAAAATCAGAAACTTCATCCTGAATTCTGCAGAGATAGAGTAAAGGTACACAAGTAAGCCCCGTTTTCTTGCCGTCGCAGAAGATAGATAGATAGAGAGATAAACTGACAGTCAGACAGACAGATAGACGGATAAAGAGAGAGAGAGAGAGAG